AGTGTTGTGTTTGTGTTGTGTTTGTGTTGTGTTAGTGTTGTGCTATTGTTGTGCTAGCGTTGTGCTGGTGTTGTGCTAGTGTTGTGCTAGCATTGTGTTACTGTTGTGCTAGCATTGTGTTAGCGTGTACCTGCTGGGTGAGCTGCAACAGTTCCATCCTCTCTCGGAGGATTTGTGCGTCCCTCTCTCTCAGTTCGCACATCACAGTGCGTTTCCATTGGTCCATGGCCCTCCTTAGCTCCTCCCTCTCCTCTTCCGTCAGGCTCTCGGACAGTCGGCCCTCCTCCATCTTTAAGCCCTCCATCCTGGACTCCTCCTCCTGCTGCAGAGCCTCAAACAACATGGCCTCCAGCTCCAGGATCCTCTGCAGGAGGACACACATGTTGAGAACACGTCTGATCCGTAGCCACGGCTGGTTTCTGTTATTTCTGTTGGTTAATGAGCAGAAAACTGAGTAATTCTGCAGCATCGCACTGTTGAAACGTATTCATAGGGTTAGGGTCAGGTTTCTGATACGTCTCAGCATCCTGCTGTGACCACCTGAACACAGCCTGTGTGTGAGCCAGTGCTCGCTGTGCCACATCAACAATGTCCGGAGCAGATGTCCGGTCTCAGTCAGCATGACCCCAGAACTCTGCAGTGTAGAGGGTCTGCTCACCTCCCAGCTCTGCCTCCTTCTGCTTCTTTAAACCAGTCCTTGTTGTCGTGGGCGGGGCTAACAACACCATCATGTGACAGTTTTCTTTTGTTAAATAGTGACGAAGGAAACTTGTTTCATCACAACCACGAATGAAAGACGAGGCTGCGATCAGGCTTTAACCGATAAAACCAACAGAGTGTGATGATGGGAGCCAACAGGTCTGCAGGAACTCACTGGACTCATCAGAACCACAGAGCTGCTGGCTGGAGGTGCAGAACCCTATGAAACCGACATCAGAAGCTGGAGGGACGTGGGACAGGCGGCTTGGTTGAGACGATGTGGATGTGACTGCTGCTTCCAGAGGACACAGACGTCAGACTGATCAGACATCAGAGTTCTGTCAGTCTGGAGTCGTCGGAGCTGCAGTCACAAGAGGTTTTCGTGTTTGATGGTAGATTTTGTTCCGTTCTATCGCTGCTCTCCACCATCCCCTCATCCCCCACTCCCACCCAGCCGGTCCAGGCAGATGGCCTCCTTCCCTCAGCCGGGTTCTGTCGGAGGTGTTTTCCTCTCTTGGGGGGTTTTGGTTCCTTCCCACCAGCCGCCTGCTCAGAGGAAGTCCAGAGGCTGCTCTGGACCGCTGGTTCTCTGTTGTAGCCTGTGAGGTCTGAACCTGACTGTGTTCAGGCTGTGAGGTGACGTGTTCTGAGCTGTACAGATAACACTGAATTAAATCAGATCGGCTGAATGTTGGTTTATAAAATCCTGTCACAAGTGTTTTCACATCATCTCTGTTGCGTGGCTTCATCACTTCGCTGCACACAGCCGGCCAAAGAGCAGCTCTTCACCTGCCTGCACAGCCCCAACCTGCAGCAGGACTGCAGGCTTCTGCTCACAGGCTGTTGCTTCCTGTAGTGAAGGACCTTTAACAACAGTAACACGTGGACAGACGGAGGCTTTCTCTGTTCCTGTACCTGTGCAGGTGTGCAGCTGCTCACACTCACCTTGTGGGCCTGATCCATGGACTGCTTCCTGTAGTCGAGCTCTTCGTCCAGGTAGCCTTTCTGTTTACTGAACAGATCCTGAAACAGCATCACACATCAGATCAGTGACGTCACACAAACACAACCACAAACAACTGTTACCACGACAACCAGCTCTTGGTCATGGTGTGGCCTTTATGAGAAGACAAAGACTGACTACGCTCTGACATTTTAGAACGTTCCTCACACCAGCAGCCTGGGAAACTCATCCTCCCGTTTCCAGCTTGAACATGATGTGTTCACCTCCTTCAGCTCTTCTGTGGGGTTCCTTCACGTCGATCAAACCGTGCTGACTGACCAACGGGCTGCAGACCAGTTAGTCCAGCCTGTTGAGGAGGTGCAGCTCACAGAGGCTTCATTTCTACACTGATAATAAGTCTGTCTGTTCTGCTGTTGGTGGGATTCATTTTCTGAAGGAGTGAGAAGAAGATGTGGCAGATCTGCTGCGGCTAAGACGTTTAGCAGATTCAGGAGATGAGAACATCTGACAGAGCCGAAGTGTTTCAGAGATGAAGTGTCGCGGGGTTCAACCGGCAACCTTCCCAAACTGGGAGAAACGATGGCGTAGCCGTCAGCTGTGGTTTTCCAATTTATTTCAGGCCTCTCCAAAAGTGCGACAGTGACTAAAATATTTACAAAGTGCAACAAAAACAAAACAAAGTGCAAAA